AGGGAAAGAGATGTGCTCAGAGAAGTCTTGGGCCAACCAGAATAGATAGGGCGCATGCATGGTGTGTCTAGTTACTATGGGTGGAAGTATTGGCCAGATTGCACCAGCATGTACAGAAAGAGGAAGCGTTCAAGTGTGGATGTGGAAGCCATTAAAGAAGTTATGAGCCAAGTGACACAAGAAGTTATCGCGAAGGTCACTAAGGATATCATGGACAAGCTGCATGAACAAGGAGTGCCTTTGCGGTCGCCTTCCAACACCCCTACCTCTGTAGGTGGTCGGTAGAGTAGCTATGCCTCAGCCTTAGATGCAGTCTGCAATGCACAGTTGGACAGACTTGGTGGGATTCTAGATCTGAATGTTGTGGACCTTCTTATAGAGTCAACAGCGTGTACACTTGTAATCAACCCTGGAGGTAAAATGGAGGTAGTAGCAATAGGTCGTGTATTCCCAAAGCAAAATGAGCTATATTCACTTCCAGTATAGGATGGATATGTCGTTGTACATGTTGATTTTGTATATCCAGAACATGAGGGCATTGTGTTGAATCCGCCCCCAAGTGGTGAGATAACAAATCTTGGAGAGGCTCTATTCAAGAGGGTCCAGTGGAGTAGGGGTTGCATTGTGGTATCACCGAAGGTGCTCTCTTCTCAAAGATCACCAAGACCTCCATAGCATGGCCATGATGGGTCAGGCAAAAGCAATCTAAAGAACCTTGTGGTAGCCAATGTTTCATCCTCACAAGATGGGAAAGCGAAGAGTGCCACTATTGAAGACAAGCCAACTAAGTCCTCACGTGCTACAATGACACCTTCATCAACCCCTAAAAAAGCCAAGAGTGACATAGAATAGCAGGTGGATGGCAAGCATAAGCAGCAGGAGGCACAACCCACCAAACCATCTAAGAGTGCCCCTGTTGGAACTTTATGGATAAAGGCCAACCCTAAGTTCCAATTTGGATAGCCAATTCTATTAGCAACAGATGTTGAGAAGGCAAGACCTAGGTGTGTTGCTCTTCATGCCTACTACATGAAAGCATGTGCAGAGAATAGAACGGATGGGATAGTCGGTATGTTCAAGTGCCAGCATTTTGGGCGTGATTTAGAAACTGAGCCTTTCGTTGTGGGATTAGATGATTTGTTTGACCTCTTCACACTAGATGCATTGGATATGTCCATTCTTCGCTGCTTGACACTGTAAGTACAATTTCTTATATTTTAGACTCGTTCATTGTTGCGTAGGGATGCTCTTCATATATTTCCTTGCTAAATTGCTTTTGTATGCTACTTTATTCCTAGATGCCTGATTGTAGAAGCTAGGGACATGTCTGTGCCAGTTGGCCTTCTTGATCCAGATCCATTGTTAATAGACAGCATGACCAGGGATAGAGGTTTTAGCGTGTCGTATCTGAAAAAAGCCTAAAGAAACATGCCAAGAAAGACTATGTGATGTTTGCGCATAACTGTGGTGTGCACTGGATTGCTGTCATCATCATTCCCAAGTGGCAGAAGGTCTTGTACCTCGACTCCAGTAGAGGCAGGAAGATAGATTTGAGTGGGTTGAAATCTGTGATAGATGAGTGAGTGTTTTCTAACCTACTATTGACACATGTGTTTCTTTGTTAATTATGTTATTCAAAGTCAAAAAAAAAAATGTGACAACAACTCATGTCTGTGTAGGGCTTTTGGCAAATCCGTACCCAAAGCGAAGAACAGGCAGAAAAATGTTAAGTTGACCCATGCCACCAAATTTACAGTAAGTAGTGCTTCACTTCCAAATGTGATCAAATTTGTGTTTCAATTCCCTAGCTTACCATGTGTTTGATATGTCGTAGTGCCAGCAGCAAGGTTTGGACAACACTTGTGGGTTCTATACGGCCCACAACTTGATGCTTGCGATGGGGCAGACCAAATTGGATTCTCCTAAGGTACTACAGATATATATTTACTTATTAGTTGTTGTTTAACGTTGATTGTGACACTAGGATCCTCCAATGCTAAAAACTCCAAGGCTCAGCATCCCTGTCTTTTGGCTGGGTCCGATCTAGATGGTACTATACATTTGTCTAGGAGAAAGTGTAGCCACCTTATGCTGTTGTTTAACCACTACCAGCTAGGCTGTGTATGTGTGTTTATGTAGCTAAGTAGGTAACATGCATCGAAATAGGTAAGTAACATGTAGAAAATATTTTTGAGAAGAACCAACTGAACAACTTGGATGAGCCTAAACTGAAGTAAGGAGACTAAACTTAAGGATGTCCTAAAGGGTGACCAAAGTGATAGTCTAATGAGATTTTATTGGATGGAAGGAAGACAGAGGACAAGAGGGAATAATATCTAGTCTCGCACTTCAATGTCCTTTTTTTATTGTTTCTAGAGCTTAAGTCGCTAGCAATTTCTTTCATCCCGTTGAGGACGCCATAACAATCTCTAAGTTGATGTTTGCTGCTGATGTTTACTGTTGCTGCTGCTAGAATAGCCTTGTGCACAGTTAATGTGCTGCTGATATCATCATTGCGTATATATTAGTCTGAATATATAGTTATGTGCTAGATAAATAGCCTTTTCTATAGTATTTATATGTATGTTTCAATACATGTAAACTAATTATGCATCATCATCTTATGGCTACATTACAGGAATTTGAAGTGCTGACCACTCGAATCAACTTAGAGGACATTAGAGAGAAGATTGCCATGTTCATCGTGTCACATATCATCAACCAAAAAGACGAGTTTCATAAAGTAGTTGTTTAGATGCATTGGAATCATATGCACAGGACTTTGTATGGATGTTTGGGAGCTTGATCTGTTTGGTTTGAGCTACTGTGAATCTGTTTAATTTGTTTGTGTGATAAACACAGCAGTAACAATTTTTGTTCTTATTAAGTGAACAATTTTGAAATGTGATGTCATTTTTGTGAGATCTGCAGGTCTGATTTATATGTATATATTAATTGTGATATCGGTGGTTTGCTTTGGGCAGACGTGTATAGGTTGCAGATGCGTCTGTGGTAAATAAATACTACAGACCCACGCTTAGTATACACGTCTGTAGTATTCTTCGTAATGCAGACGAATGTAACGAAAGAGCGTATGTAGTATTCTGAAACTCTGTAGACATGTTGCGAGAACGAGCGTCTGTAGTATTCTGAAAGTCCGCAGATGCGTTTTAAGAAGGCGCGTAAGTAGTTTTCTGAAAGTCTACAGACGGCTTGTTACAACACGCGCCTGCAGTATTCTTAAACTCTTCAGACGCGTTATGACATAGCGCGTTTGTAATATTTATTGTACTATAGTCGCTCAGACACAACGTGCATCTGTAGAGCATTTGAAAATGTACAGACGCTTTTCTGTAACACGCGTCGGAAATAACTTTTGGTACAGACGCGTGTTCAATTTATTTCAGACGCGTGTTTGCATTCACTCAGACGCTTTCGCGTATGTAATAAGACCTTATTACATACGTCTTATTACATACGTGTTTTTTTTTTGTTTGTAATGTCTCTTAACGCGCGTCTGTGATGCGGTTTTTTTACATAGTGCAACCATCGTTCAGTTAGCGTCTATGTATATGCATTCAGTTAGCGTCTATGTATATGCATTTTTCTTCTTTGACAAAAATGAACAGATAGTGGAGCGTGCAGAAGTATGTAGCGTTTGAGAACAGAAGCATAAAAATTTTTGGAGGTTGTGGGACATTTCTGAATATTATCAATACAATAACTACTGTATGTGTAAACCGAGAGCGGCGCTAGACAAAACACCCTAATAATTTGCTTTAGCTGTTTACGATTAAATAGTGGCATAAAATCTGTTTAGATTAAAAAAATTAAAAAATATTTGATCCTACATTATTGTGTTTTTTGTGTTTTTTTAGAATTACATAATTACACAGTACAACGTAGACGCCCATAAACACACACGCACACAAACCTCTATAAACACACGTACGCAAATCCTACCCTTATCCTGGAATAAATCCAGAAAAATACGAGCACCGGTGCCAAGTTGAGGACTTGAACCCGGGTGGGCAGGTTCCACCACAAGGAACATAACCAACTGATCTATAGTCATTTTGCCCTAGATTAATGTCTTTGCATGTTAAGGCCCTGTTTGAATACAAAGTTTTTTTTAGAGTTTTAGATTAATACCATGATTTTTTAAAATACCTGGCTATTTGACAGAAAGAAGGTGTTTGGATGTCATTAATTTAGAGTTTTAGTATGGTATTAATAAAACCATAGTTTTTTTGAGTCTAAAAAACTCAGTCCCAACCATCTTTATTTTTGACGGAGCTCGGTGACGGGTGTCTACCTCTAATGGCACGTCTCATTTTCACTCCTATTTTTAGAGATACATGCTATTTTTAGCAGCAAAGACACAACCAGCTAGTCTCAAAAGCAATGTATTGCTGTGTAGCCAAATACGTCGTGGCTTTTCTTAAACAGAGAAACACTGTGATTTCTAAATATTATGGTATTACATGCCTACGTTTTTTAAATTGTGGTTCCGCAATACTACAATTTTAAGAAACAGCCACACCCAAATGGAGCCTAAGTCTTCAAAAAACAGCGTTTCAATAGATATTTAGATTTATATTTAGATTCTAGAAGCTGTGTACTTAAACCCTAATTTTATTTTTCTACTCCGTACCTTGTTCTCATCATCGTACCTTCCGCTTTAATTTTGAGGAAGCCGGCTGTTTGGATGCCGCCCTCGCCTGAGGGTGCCTGCCAGGCAGCCAATCTCAGCCCCAGGCGATAAGAAAATCGAACGTCCGAGGACTCTGCCTGGTGCCGGAGGTGCCTGCCTGCCTGCTTGGGTGCGGGTGCATTAATTAAATACGCATGAAGGCCCAACACTTTGACGTGGGCACTGGCAAATGGCAATTGCATTTTGGGGCTAACCGCACGACCCACTCGGCCCACTCCCAAGTCCCACCTTGCGTACGCGTGCCAAACGCTCGTTGCAGGCTCCGTCTCCACCTAGGGTTCCGGCGATGGCGCACGGCGGCTACCCGCGCCGCGGCGCCGCCGTCCGCCGGCCCAAGTCCTCGGCCTCCGCACCAGTTGCCGACCGCAAGCGGAAGCGGACCGCCGCCGCCAAGACCACCTCCCTTAAGAACCAGATCCGCTCCACTGAGCGCTTCCTCCGCAAGGTACTTACCGACACCTGAGGTCTGCTCGGCTGAGCTCGGGACCCTCTAGTTGCTCGCTGTTCTTCCACCATGGATGGGGTTTAGCTGTTGCGTGTGGAGCGCTGGGTGTTTCTCTGGGAACCTCTCCATTTCTAGTTAATTGGGACATTTCGCCGAACGTAGCTAGGAATTTTAGCATGGCAGTCTTTCTGCAACGATGAATTGCTCAACCACGAATATTTTTTTTATTTGATGATACGGTAGGGGCTAATTGATGCTTCAACTTAGGCCTCTGTTTGTTGCATTCGGCTCAGCAGACTTGTTCATGGTGTAGCTGGATTTCTGCAGCTTGCATAGGTGCTATTAAGTATCATGTATTGATTGAGAAACTAACATACTGAAATGTTAACTACGCTGCTCAAACGGATTAGTGAGAAATGTTGTGAAAGGGCATTTGTTCTCGTCAGAGGAGAAATGAGGAAGCCTAATTGACCTTGATTTACAACAGTGTAGTCATGGATATGTCCATGCCTCTTTCTATGCATCAACTACATATAATTGCTGGCCAACAGAATCTTCAGCTTATATTGGAAGGAGTCAAGTAGGCATAAGTGACAACTGACATAATTCACTTCTACGGCGGAGGAGGGGTGAGCATAAGCTTAGCTTGTTTGTGCTATTTTAAATCAAGGCCACTTTATGTGAACAACCTACATATATAAAAGCATAGCACATCCGCTTCCATTTTATGTTCTTCTGATTACATCAATGAACCATAGCCCCCTTTTCGTCTAGCCATGTTGATATGTTACTGCTCCATGTTTAATTTTCAGGACCTTCCTGATGACATTAGGGTTGCTCAAGAGAAGAAACTGGAAGAACTGAAGAGGCAACAAGAGCTTCAGAATCAACTCGCTGTTCAGCGAACATTGCAGTTGAGAGATAGAAAGATAAAATTCTTTGGTCTGTTATCATTTCCTATTCATTTCAAGTTATTTTTCTCTGCACGTATGTACTTACCATTTTCTTGATGTTGGTGTTCAAAATACAAAGAGAGGCGGAAGATTGAGAGGATGATAAGGCGCCTTGAGAAGCAGCAACGTTCAAATGGTGATGATTTCAGCAATAATCTGTCAAATTTACGAGAAGATCTTGAATATGTTAGAGTAAGATTCCTACATTACTACCCTGCCCTGCCCATGATCCTATGATGATATGAGATATAAGTATCATTACAACTTTCTTTTCCTTGCTGTATCGTTCTCTTTGCATTAGATTGGAGGGTCTAATCAACCATTGTTTATCTGTACCTGCTTGAATCCTGAGCTAAAGCTTATATATCTCAACTCATGTGTAGTTCTTCCCAAAGAATGAAAAATATGTCTCACTGTTCAATGGAGGGAATAGCTCAGATATTGTTCAAGAGAGGAATAAATGGCGTAAACAGATCAAGGAGAATCTCATGGCTGCTGCAGCAAATGGAAAAGATTTAGAGGGTGCCTGCTTGCTTTACTATTCGCTTGATGACCTTCAAAATTATGGTACCCTTTTACTGGATATCTAATGTGTGAAGTACTAAACGTTATTCTTGGTCATTTAACAGAGACAGCAAGCGATGATGATACCTTGGATGTGAGTGATGACGACTTCTTTATGTCTGGAAGTTCAAGCGATGAAGAGGCTGATGATGAGTGGACTGACAAAAGTGCTAAGTATGGTTCGCAACCCACAGCTCTTGGACATTGTAGATGCTTTTATCCTGCAACATGCTATGATGCTATCACTTATGTATATGAGGTCCTAAATCTAATGCTTCCTTCTGGTATATCGTCCATATGCTTCCCTCTGGCGCTGTGAGAGCATTACTACTGCTGTGCTAATGTATTTTTGTCTTTCTTGACTTGGTGTGCTAGTATGTTCTTACTTCTTTCTTCACTTGGTGTGCTAATGTTACTTGTACCAACCGTCTGCAGGGAACCGGCTTCCAGTGCTTCAGGTAGGGCAGCATCTGGCATGTCAAGTGATGAAAAGAACCAGGTACCTTTATTAGGGGTGTTTCAGTTTTCTTCAGAGCTCTGGGAAACTGTTGACATTTGCATTTCCTTGTAGTTAACCCAACCTATTCTGTTTTGCAGCGTCAGAGAGATGCTCGAGTTCTTATGCCACCACCACGCTCATTAGCACCAAATAGAGCCAGACATGCAGATAAACGTGTGATATCTAGCTCGAGCAATACTTCAAACAGCACAAGCGGTGAATCATTTAAAAATAGAAGAGTACCAAATCGTCCTGGGGATAATAACAGTAATCTGAGTTCAAATTCTGATGCTCATAAACCACGCCGCAAAAGGAGGCATAAGAAGAAAAAGAAGCTGGTATAACTTTGCATCCACACCATAGACCTTTTTCGTGCATCTTTTTAAGGTCGTATTTTAGAAAACATAGGATGAACTGTGGCTAAAACTTTTCGTGTATCCTTTTTTTTATCAAACTTTTACTATGGGTTTCAATCTCATTTGTCACCATATGGCTACTTCCACCTAAATTATGAAATATTGATCCTCTTGTGGTACCTTGGATGCTGCCATGCCGCTGTGAAATCTTTATTTTGTTACCATCAAATGGCCAAGCTATCAAAGTTTATCCATTGGGTCTTAGAAAACATAAGTTCATAACCATTAAGACATTCCATGCATCACAAGTGGAGATCTGCATAAACAGTAACTGTAATAGAATATGAAGGGGAAATCCGGCCGCCTGATGTTTGTGTGGCTGGAAGTTAGTTATGCTTTATTGCTTAAACTATTTTGAGGCAAGTTGGTGATGATACCTGTGTAGTTGGTTTTGCTCTGTACCGTTTTGTCTGCCATAGACAAAACAGTGTTGGTGGTTAACTGTCTCTCGTAATAGATATATGCAGTCTCACAATGCTACTTCTGTATCTCAACAGGCATGATGAATATTCCCAAAGCGCGTGAATCGTGGGGTGGAAACTGAGATTCCCAGCGAAGTTTGACTTTCAGCATGGACTGCATGGTCAATTTGGAGAAGAAAAAACACAGCATGTGCGATGTACCTGAGCAAGTTGATGATTTTGTATCCTCGCTCCTGATGTAAAACGACTCTACATCCATTTGTTCATGGATATTACTTACGGTGACCAGATCTTGCCAGTCTACCGAATGCGTGTTCATCGTTTTCGCCGTGAAATTATGTATGTTTTTCATGGTCTCCAATGATTCTGTACTACTAGAGGGGTGGAACAGCGGCATCTCCATGGATTCAGTACACCCCGTGTCTGGGTCTGGAGATGGTGGCTTTTATCCTTGCTAGGCTGTGAATTGGTTGCCTGCTGTCTGCTCCCAGCTCTCAAGAGATCTCATGACCTGTATGCACGATACGTATGTTGCATTGTCCCCCTGCTGTCTGATTCGCATCTACTTTGGGGTGTGGGTCTGGTGCACGTTGTCCGTTGCTGAAGCATTCACCGTCAGTTGCAGTGTGGGGACTTTTGCTGTTGTGATACTGTGCTCTGGTTTCCTCTTTACCGAGCGATGTTACCGTGCCAGATTCGGAAACATCCCCTTGTCATCTCTACCCATCTGCCCTGAATTTCTCGTGCGGCCATGCGTTGCACTGCATGGCATGGCCCCTGGAGGTCCTGGCTATGGCCGCGTTTAGTTCCAAAAAGTTTTTTTTTTAAAAGTGCTACAGTAGCCATCACATCGAATCTTACGATATGTGCATGGAGCATTAAATGTAGATAGAAAAAAAACTAATTACACAGTTTGGTGAGAAATCACGAGATGAACGTTTTGAGCCTAATTAGTCTATGATTGAATACTAATTATCAAATAAAAACGAAAATGCTACCGTAGCCAAATTCTTAAATTTCCCCCACCTAAACAAGGCCTATGTTTGCCGCTGCGCCTGCGGTGCAGTGACATCCTGGCTGGTGCTGGGGGGGTCTCCTGGTAGCGCCCGTCGTCGTCGCTCCATCAGCGATTCCTCTGCGTCCTCTGCTGTGCTGTGTTCTCCATGCTACGTATCGTCACTCTCAGATGTTCATGCGGTAGGTAGGCATGCATCTGACTGAGCTCCATGGTAGCTTTCACTGTTGAGTGCTACTATTTCTCTCTAGTTATCTCCATCTGCATGAGTATGCGTAACGGAGCAAAAGACCAAGGGGACCGGGGCATCTGCGTGTTTATCAGTATGTCTATACTATTATCGGTATAGAGATGGTTGCAGCAAAGAACGGTTAGTTGTCCTGTGCCTGCTCAGGTGTGGCAGTCTTAATGGCAAACTCCATGCTGTATTGTACGCCTGTACTACCAAAATTAGTTGAGCGCAGAAAAACGATGGCCGTTGATGGCTATCGACTACCAGAAAGGACTTGTCGACTTTACCCAGATCTGAGATGCATCGCAATGTCTTCCGCTATGGCTTTTCTCTCATGAATAAACTTCAACGGCGTCCACTGGAGAACGATGTGCCATGGAAACGGAAAGACACGAAGAGACAGTGAGAAAAGCAGCAGCTTTATCAGACAAAACAGTTGCCATACTAGTAGTGGTATTTTCTTTGTGACTTTTATAGTGTCCGGAGATACCAAAAGGAAAAGGATGTCGACACAAGTTCGAAGTCGAATTTGAAATTTCCCTCTCTTTTCCTCCATACACTTTCTCAAACTCGCTCACTCAGGTCCAGGGGTAATAGAGCTGAAGCTAACCGGAGGAGAGGAGATGTGCTTTGCCTTGTTGGTGCAGTGATTTTTAACATGGGGTGCATAAATGGTGAAAATTTAGCTCTAATAATCACATCATTCTTATTTTTGCGCGAGTGCGACTGCACCCCCTAGAATGAATTAATATACATCCACCCAGGTCACATACAAAAGGGAAACTCAAAATTAGAAATGAAAAGCTACAGCTTATGTGCACAGTACAAATCCTAGGTAGCTCTTCCCGATGCTACATACTTGGCCGTCCACAGCACTGCCCGCATCATCCGTCCATCCCATTCCCATCTGATGACAGGACGGTATGACGCGTACGCCGCCGTGTGATTCTTGAACCGTCACCTCCATCTCCATGGTGTGTATGGGCAGGCCGGGCTGGCTGGCCATAGAACACGTCGAAGCGTGCATGCACGGGCTGATGGGCTGGCGGCTGGCTGCGCCCTCCTCCCCATGCAGGTATACCCAACGCCTCCAATTCCATGTCTGTAGAGCACCATGCGTATCCATCGAATGATCGATATAAAGATCTTCTTTCCTCTCTTCTTTCTAGCTCTCATGCATGAGTTCGACCATAGCTGGTCCTCCATGCATGCATCCAACAGCTTCTTGCCTCCTCGTTGCTTGCTTATCTTGCTTCGGACCCCCTCATGATCCTCAGCTTCTTGCAAGAACAGATGAACATCCTGCAAAATCCACAGAAAGGTCAGGTGTTGTTCCTCCGATCCTTTATACATATTGGACCCCGTACGGGATCTAATTAATGGATGGATAGATGTTGGTACTTACTCCCAGGGCACGTCGCCGGCGAGCATGAGGTCGCCGTCCTTGTCCTCGTAGGCGATGGCGAACTGGCAGCCGCCGTCGGCGGCGGAGGAGGAGAAGCAGCCGAAGAGCGCGTCCAGCGCATCTCTCAGCTCCCGGTAGCCGCCGTAGGTCCGCAGGTCCACCTTCCGGAGGTAGGGCGCCCCGTCCATGCTCACCTTCACGTACAGGCCTCCCTGCTCGCCCTTGCTGGTCCTCCTCGCCTCCGCCGCCGCGTGGAACGCGTTCTTCCGGTACGCTTTCACCGGCGGCCACCCCACCACCTGCACCCTGCGGCGTTCACGGACACAGCGTCAGCTGAGCACCTAGCTGCTAGTACCTGCTAACGAAAGCGCATGCATGTGCTGGCGACTTACTTGGAGGCCGGTGCGGCGTCGTCATGGTCGTCCGTCCCGGACGCCTCGCTCTTCACCACCGACGACGACGGCCGTTTCGCCGCCACCGACGACGCCGGCTTCCTCGCCGGCTGCACGACGGTGACGTCGCTGTTGCTCCCGGGCGGACCAAGACGCAGCTCCGCGTCGATGATCTCCATGCTGCCCCCGCGCCGATCGATCGATGACAGAAAGAAAATGCTCCGCTGGTGGATGCACCGACGACGAACTCGCCGAGATGCACGAGATGACGAGAGATGATGGCAAGAAGCAGAGAACAGCTAGCGTGAGAATGCTTGGCTTGCACTGCTCGTCGTCGTTCGGTTGCGTGCCTTGGAGGCTGGCATATATAGAGGCGGTTGCCACTTGCCAGTAGCAATTGCGTGCACTAGTCTAGCCTGCCGCCCGCAGCTCGTGCCATCCATGACACGTCGCCAAGCCACCTATGGCGGGTGGGTCCTCTTCGACGGGGGACATGGTGGCCGGGTGGGTGTGCGTCCGGGGCCCAGCCGACAGGTGGGGCCTGGGAGGTGGACCAGCAGGTCGGGGGCTAGATTCCTTGCGATGGCCGTCGCCTCGGGGCGGCAGGCGCATGTGGTTGTGGGGTGCGGGGCCCGGGTGTCGGTGGGCCAGGCCGGGGCATGGCGCTGCTGCTGGCTGCTGCCACCGTGCGGGGCTCACACGTGTCGCGGCTCGGCCAGTCTGGTCTCGCTTGGATGGATCATGGATGAATGGGGCTGCGTGGGCCGTGGGCGCATCGCATGCAGGCGCCAGCCAGCTCATGGGCCACGTCGGCGGCGCGTCCTCTGGTACATGCTCATGCATACGCGTAGAGAGCTAGCGACGACACGGTAGTGGTACTGTAGATTCCCGGCACTCATGCAGAAGAGTTGCAGAGCCAGTCTGGAGACTTTAAACCTTGTGTTGTTGCAAATTTGCAATTGCAACCGATTTCTGTCAAAATCCGAAATAAGCACGTTACGTGGTAATAAATGTTTCCTAAATTTAGTAGAACGTGCAGCAGGTTAGTAGCAATCGTGTTCAAACAAGCTCTGGTAATAAAAAGAAAAAGAGGCAACGACGATGGACAAAAAGCAAAATAAAACAAAGCTTGATCATCAGCAAAATATTTAGGCCCCGTTTGGCAGAGCTTCACTTCACTAGTGAAGCCATTTTTTTTGGCTTCAGCTCCACGAACAGCTCTACCGGTGGAGCTGAAACGGTTTTGGTAAATTGTTTGGCAAAATGGCTTCCCTGTGAGAGCATGTTTTTAGGGGCCTGGAGGAGGAGCCGGGAGAAGCCACTATTTTTGGCTCCTTCCCACCCCAAAGCTCTGTGAGAGCACGTTTTTAGGGGCTTCATCGGTGGAGCCGTTTCATTTTACCCCGTTTGGCAGAAAACGGCTCCAAACGGCTCCTAAAGCCGCTGGAGAAGCCCTGCCAAACGGGGCCTAAATATTTGGAAAAGAAAGAGTTCAAGACAACGATAAAAGGCTAATTAAGTGTATATTTATTTCCATTTGGTACGATTTATTCCAACGAGGCACTTATCACATCCCGAATACTGGCATTTGATTCAGTTGGAGATTGCTCCTGCGTAATCAGACTACTACACTCCGGCCGGCAGCGTGTACGCCAGCTGATTGTGCTGCGAGGAACAAAATCATCGTATATTCCGGCCGGGAACCAAGCAAATCATCAATTATAAACCGGGCAGGCGACGCATCTCGGAACCGGGCACAAAATACACACGCAACGCAAGCAACGTTGCGGCAGCATCGCTCCTCGTATCTCGCCCATATGCCCGCGGACTGAGCAGCAATAATAGACGGCGGATCGATACGGCCACGCCACGCGAGTCGCGAGAGATGCGAGATGCCGATCGACGGGGAATGATAATATGCGCTAGCTGCTGGCTGGCCTGCTGCAATGGCTGCATGCACGGGGCACGGCCATGCATGGCATGGCCCAACGGCGAGAGCATGCACCAACCAACCAAGCAACCGCACGCTCCCACGCAAAGAGAAATCATGCAACGCACGCGCGCGCACACACGCACATGCATGTCGCGGGCTAGCTGCTCGATATAGGATAAATGAGCATACCAAACCAATTAAGCAACAAGCAGTGGCGGAGCCAGGATTTATACTCAGGGGGAGCCGTCCGTCAGGAATTATACTTAGGGGGGCCGGCTCGATCTTTTTCATTGCGATAATTTTATTATCTAGTTATGTTTTGTATAATTATATTATCTAGAAGATATTAATAGGTATATATGACAAGAATTTTATATAATCTCTCTCTTAATATAAATAAAAAATATTAAGTCATACTACTATTTTTTGTTGCTGTGAAACATTAGGGGGGGCTGGCCCTGCCAGCCCCCCTCTCCGCCAGTGGCAACAAGCCCAGCCCGAAGCTACGATGACAACGCCAACGCATGCGATGCAATGCAGGGGCACCGGCAGTGGCAGCGGAAGCGGAAGGAGTACCGGACCAGACATGCTTTCGGTCGCTGCCCGGCCGGTTGGTGCCTCTGTCCCCACTTGACAAGGAACCAACACGCGCGCGCACGCATCCATCCCCCGGCTGTCCCTGTCCTCCCCCTCGTGTCGTCGTTGTCCATGCATCCTCCCGCTGTGCGTGGCCACACACCGCACAGCGATCTGGACATAATGGGTCTCGATCGGTTTTCCAGTAGGTGCGCCGCCGCCGCAGCACAGCGCCGGGAATGGACGAACTCGCTGTCAGCCTGTCACGCCCGAACGCGCACGCCCCAGTCGTCGTCGTCGCGGGCGCCGGGCGGCGACGACCTGTTGCATGCATTGCATTGTAGCGAGTGGCGACGTTTTATTGTTCGTTCGGTCGGTGTGTGTGTGGGTCTCTCTCGATCGGCAGGCAGCAGCCAGGCATGTGCAGCGGCAGCCGGTAGTGTGCATGAGAGGGATAGATGCCTGCAACTGCAATGCATATGCCGTGCGTGCGACCTGTCCATCGCGCGCGCCAGCGCCACGGTCGATCGCGAGAGGATCGGAAGGTGGGGTTCCCTACCGGCACGGCACGGCATTGTGCGCAGAGATTATTGTGCCGATATGATCCATCGTCCCATCGAGTTGCTAGCTGCAGCTGCGTGCTCGCCGGATCGGCCGGGGTATAAATGCGATGGGCAACTTGCGACCGATAAATGCAACAGGACGGTGCGTGCAACTTGAAGAAGGTTCATTCGTTACGCGCGCGTCCAGTCGATCGTCTCCATCGTCTGCTGGCGCCGCGATGTGATGTGCCATGCCAGCAAGTTTCTATTCATTCTTCAGCTTGAAGATTCTCAGAGAAAAGCTCCCACCTGATGTGACCACCAGGTGGGGCATTTTCATGCTATCACATGACAACAATGATTTGTATGTATGTGTGTTTTTTCTTTGCAAAGTCATGTTTAAAAGTAAAGATTTATCATGGTTTATTGGAGGTGACGTCAATAATTTATGAACCTAGATCCGCCCCTAGGGGTCACATCGTTGGTTACTATATATTTTTTTGCGAGTAAAATACATATGTGGTCTTTAAACTTGGGAGATGTGTCATCTAGGTCTTCAATTCCTTTTTTTTATTTTTGGTCCCCCCAACTTGTCTCAGCAGCGCCCCATCCCCGGCGGTGACTCACACGTTGGCAAGCCCAAGCTGCCACCTGCGGCGGCACCTACGCCTACGGGGTATCGTCGGCCCCCTCCGTCTACTGCTCGAACGCTCGGCTTGCCGCGTGGCGTTCTGGGAGGGTTTCCGCAGCCATTTGGAATCTGGGTGAAAACCATGCCTGGCTGCTGCTCTAGGCTAGCGACGATGGCGCAAATGGCGTCATATCCCTCCTTGAAGGCACCGCTGTAGATTTCAAGCTATCGCGGAAGCCTTCCCAGGGATGTTGGTAGGTCTCGGGGCGAAAGCCCTTACGAGCCTGGTGCTCCGATCGTCGATGGTGGCATTCATGGACGTCACTTCCCTTCTTGAAGGCATCGATACAAGCACACCTACTCTCATCCGCGACCGTTGTGTCCTTGCGTTCTCCCTGTTTGATCCACACCTTCTCCCCGCGCGTGACCTTGTGCACTCTCTGGTTGCTCTCCCACCCTATCTTGTTGTTGGTCTAACTATCCTCCTACCCCTTGGCTTCTGCAAACGCTACTTGTTGTCATGTGCTCGCCATCAACGACTTGCTTCGTCGTCCTCTGAATCACTTGAGTGCTCTGTGTCATCATATGTTGTGTTGCGGGAACTTTGATCTCTTCTCTGGATCTCCTCGTTCTCCTCCTGGCAGCCCTCCCCCTTTGAGGCTTCCTTCCCCCAAATGGCGTTGGTGGGTGTCGGTTGGAGCCCAGATGCGCTCTTAGGCGATGCTACTCACGGCTGCCGCCTGTTGGTTTGACTCAATGCCTCACAGCTTTCTAGCCGTCGTCTGTTGGATCCAACTCAGTACCTTACAGCTGCATGTGGGCTAGAGTTCTTCAGAATACGTCATTGGTGGTGGCATAGGTTAGCAAGCAGTGCTTGCACTCGCTTCGGTTGGTAGGCAGAGCTGGTAGCTGAATCATATTGTGTTTGTTGTAATCCCTTTCTCTCTCCCCTTTCATGTACTTCTTTGACCTTCATAGGTCGACCCCCTATATTAGGTGCTTTGCACCCTTCCACCCACCAGTTTGCCGGAATCTGTGGAATGAAAATCAAGTGGGGATTGGTTTGATCCCCCCGTAGTTGATCTAAAAAAAATGGGCTCACCCAATGCAGCATCCTATGTGGTATGTTGATTTGACATTGACGTGAATTTGACTATGTGGGACTAACATGTCAACAAAACCTCTCTCTCTCTCTCTATCCCTTCACCCCTTGTTGCTCCACCTCCCCTCCGCGCCACCACACCTAGGGCTAGTAGTGGAGATAGGGGACAGAGTGGGGGGGAGACCGCCCCTAAGGCCATATGATTTTTGCGAAACTTTTAAAAAAAATTAACTAATTTTTTTAGAAAGGTATTGTAAGGGGAAAGCACATTTCTAGATTGCCACACACCTGTGCCCCCTGAAAGCTCTAGTTTGGTTTTGGTGAATTGATGAAACCCTAAGTGCTAACCTAGTTTATCAAGTGATCATGAGATAGGTAGCACACTCCAAGTGGTG